ACTTATATAAACCTCAAAGCCCATGAACCCTGCCCAACCTCATGTAACCCTATGAGCACACAAACTCCCGATTGGTCCGGCTCGATAGAAGATTGGCAATTCGAACTCCTTCGTATCCTGTGTAGCCCATTGGGTTTATGAAAGACCTGTGAGAGCTACCACGGGACATCATGATCCAAGACGAACAACACACTCCCAGCATGCTCAACACATCGTTGTACTTGCCCTCCAAGGCAACATGCATCGCCAGCCTAGGTTGACTCTTGCGGCTGTACACGATTCTGGATCACAGCCACGAAAGACGGTTCATGCGTGTCTCACCTGCAAATGAGATTCGCGAAGCCTGCAGCTGAAGTCATGTCGAAGGCACCAGAATCACCATATGAAAGATCTAGTGCAGCGGCCTTGAGATCCATTTTCCGGGCAGACCGAGCAACACGTGCCTTCCCAGCAAAGTATTCCAGGATATGATACTCGTCCCTGATGGGCCCCATCCAAGCCAGCAGGAGCACAGCGGTGATGAGCACCTGCACAGCACATTCAATGTAGACGACACACAAAGAATTGAGGGGATTTGATCTGGGATTGTCGACATCGCCAAGGCACCTTGGGACATCGAAGTGCAAACATTCGACGGAGCACCGTCTGCATCTTCGGTGATAGATCATATTCATCCATTGCAACCCAGGCAGCGTGTGTAGGATGATGCTGTGAGCTCGGAAAACGACTATTTATACATCAATTTCACACATCAACAGCGGTGCATCTAGCAACGTCACAACCGAAGCAGCACAAAACGAGCCAGCAAATCGCTGCCGTTCTTCACGATCCGGCAGCAAGCCAAATCGGGCGAAGAAGCCCAAGCCAGCACGTAAGGCCTCGGCTACTCTGAACGATGAATGCAATGTGCACATATAACGGTGATGTCGCAAGCACAGCTGCTTTGTGCATGTCACAGAAACGATAACTGGACCGAGCAGGACAATTTTTCTTCAGCGCCGGCATCGACTACTCGGTGATAGCATGGTCCCAAAACACCTATAGAGCTACTACATCGTCAAAACTTAAAGAACATGGTGCAACCATGTTTGTGTTCAGCAGATCGAGACTTGAAATTGTTTCAGGAGGCCCCTGCAATCTCGCGTAGCACTTCCCTCCGCTTGTTCTCCCAAGCCTGCTGCACCTGTTGCTTCTGGAAGTCGCCATTGCAACGATCGATCTCCGAGGCCTCAGTGTGCATGTATAATACTTGTGTGTGTGTGTGTGTGGGTGCGTGCGTGCGTGCGTGCGTGCGTGCGTGTAGGCAGGGTGCGGTAGGGAAGGGTCGGGCAGAGGGCGGGTAGGGCAGGGTCCGGGTGGGTGGGTGGGTGGGTGGCTGGGTGGGTTTATATGGTCTATCTAAAATGCTCTCTATCTGTCTAAACAACTCAAACATCAGTAGCTATTCAGCCCAGTAGACAGTGGCATAGATGATCTCAAGCAGCTGGCTCATGTCGGCTCCACGGATACCAGTGTGGAAGACCTGATGGGGAAGCAAACAAAGTGTCACAGCAGCACTGCGTGTGACATGCATAATTTTAACTGAGGCATGCTACCTGCTTCTTGGTGTCGCGAAACTTCAGAGCTACCGAAGGCCGGGTCCAGTACGGTACCACCTCTGTATAGGTGTAGCCATTGTACACCTCGATCTCACCGCGCTGGGTCTTCCGGGAGGGCTTCTTCATCGTCGCTTTCGCTTTTGCCTTGGTTTTCGGAACTGCCTTGGCCTTGGGTCCCTTGTTCGAGATCTTTGCTGCTGGCTTCTTCAGCACCGGCATATCATCATTATCATCCGCCTCCTCTTCCTCTTCCTCCTGTTCATGGGCTGCTTCTGGTTCGGGCTTCGTCTCCTTGCTTGCTCCTTTCTTGCCACGGCCACGGCCACGGCCACGGCCACGGCCCACAACCTCACCATTCCCCTTGCCTCTGCCTGGTTTGCCACCTCGGCCGGTTTTGCGGCCCCTCCCTTTGCCCTCACCGTGGGTTCGCTTGGCATGGTGGTGCTGCTGAGCTCTCGTCAGAAAGTTCGCCCGGCTTTCCATAGCTTCCTCCTCGGGCACACTGTCGAGTTCGTGATTGTCTCCTTCCTCCTTGTTGCCCTTCAGGATGTCCTCACCCCCCTTCTGACCATCGTTCTTGTTTCCGTTCTGGTTGCTGTCCTGCAGGATGCCCTTGCCCTGTTCGTTGCTGACTAAGCCCTCGTTCTGGGGATCGTTCCTTCCTGTGCCTTTGCTGCCCTCTCGCATCGTCTCCTTTTCAGGCTGCCCCGGCTCGGCGTGATCGGCAGCTCCGTCCTGATGGCCACTCGGTGAGCTCTTTGTTTTCGTTGCTGCGGAGGCCTGCAGTAGCACTGTAAAGCATTGATTCAAAGAGTTTGCTGCTATGCAACGGTAAATCAATCTGTATAACAGCCTCTTCACGGTGGGCCTTCTGGTCCTCCTTCGTTGGCGTGAATGCCTGCAGATATTTCACTTCCACAAATCTGTTTGGCAAGTTTCCCGCTATAAGTGGTATTGATGCATTTTGCAATAGCCTGTGCTCCCTGTCTGCACAAGGTCGGTCCATTGGTCGGAATCACGGCCTGATGCAAGTCGGGACTTGGCTACATTCTATGCCATGCATACGATGCTATATACCTGCACATCTAAGACCTTGTGCTCGTTGCGGTCCACATCAGGATTCACCCGCTGCTTTTTGTTTCTGATCTTCTCCCTCAGCTGTGCATTCAGGGATACCGATGTGAAAAAAAACGAGGCTCTCGGTACGACACGTGTATCGTTGCATAGTATCCATGATAACAATGCAAGAAAGATACTCCATCTCAGCAATCATCTGATCCAAGGCGGCCTGGTCATCCTGCAACGTCCTCTTGGGTCCAGGCGGGCTGGGACTCGGGGTTTCCATCACCAACGTGTCAGCGTTGGAAGGGTCCACAGGGCCAGGTGGCAAGAGCATGTCCAGGCTTGGCATGGGGTGGACGTCGATGCATTCATCGTTAGCCAAGTCATTCTCAGATTCGCCGCCCTCGACGGTCTCATCGTTAGCATCTTCAGCAAGATCCTGCGAACCACAAAGAAACGACAACCCAAGGACCAACCGAGGCTTGTGAGACATGTGTATTCGTGTTTCTACATCGCTACCTCCTCTGGTGTTGGGTCGCCCTTCCTTGGCTTCTTGGGCGCTGGAGGCGGTGGCATATCATCGCCGTCGCCATCATCCTCGTCGTCGGCTCCTGGTGCCTCTGCCTCTTCAGCCGGATCATCGTCAGGCCTGGGCACATCTTCAGGCCCAGCAGTCAAGCCCCAGGCCACCCGGAAGATGTTGAAAAGAGCTTCCACATCAGGGTCCTGCAGAGGAGTGTGCATGAAGTAATTATATTTATGAAGCCACGTGAAGTGTTGATTGAACCATCAGCAGCTGAGAGCCCCACCCGAGCCGTGTGGCCCCTTTTGCATTGCCGTAGCAAATAGGATACAAGCTTCTTCAAACCCCACGACTCCGCGTGGATCTGAACCTTGGGAGGCATGTCCTGGGTGTTCGTGGTCACCTTCTTCCAGAAGTCGCGAACCTCGGATTGCAGTTCTGGGCGTAAAGATACCAAGCATTCTGAAATCAAAGCACGATGATGGATCGGAGCAGCTGCTGTCTGCAAGCTGTGCAGAGGCGGCGTTTTGGGGGTCCCATCGAAGTCATAAACGTGCACCCACATAATACACAGCTGCTCCAGGACATGGAAGTTCAGCTTCACTGAACTCCTCGGCTATTGGAAGAACTCAGTTGTAAGAAGCTATGTTGGTCTCATGTACACACATGCAACGTTTGGAAGCACAAGTGGGGCAAGCGGCATCGAAGCGATACCAACAGTCTCAGGGGTTGGCCACAGCACAATCCTCCGAGACTCTCTGGCTAGCTGCCTGATCTCTGGCACAGCCTCCCATGTATCTGCCAGCTGAGGCAGGAGGTTGGCGCTGGCCATGGAAACTGCACCACTCGATCAGTCGAGTCAAAAAGAAACCTACAAGGCCCTGGACTTGGGCCCACAAAACCTTCAGAATGGTGTGCAGCTGAGTCGTTCGCACGAGGCTGAAAGCAAAGAGTCCAATTAAGGGCCAGACCATTGCAATCTTTGAGGTTTGACCTGCGTAGGCAGCATGGAGGACACTGCAAGAAATCATTCAAGACACATTACAGATTCTGGCTTCTGGCTTTTTCTCAGCGCCCAAACAACAAAGGTGGCATCAGTAGCTGCTCCATCACTGCTTCGGCTCAGCAGGGACTTGGGAATCTTCTCCGAGATCAAAAACCTTGCTCCCATTCTCTTTGGACAGTCCAGCATCCCGTGTTTTCTCAGGACTGGTGGTCATCGACGGCAGGGATGAAGAGCTTGCCTGATCTGGAAAGCTTCCGTTTTAATGCACGATGGTACCCATACCTACTTAAACCAGCCGGGACACCTGTGAATGTAGGTCAGAGCCTGCACGTGGTGACATATGCACATGCATGATAAAGTGTGTTATAGCACTACAGATTTCACTTCATGCGGAAACAATCAGTGCACGCCTGGGCCATTCTGTTTCACCAGATGCATTGCCAATCCAGAGCAGTCATAGCTGTGGAAAACAGTCTCCATCATGTGTGGAGTAATGTTGCCTTCCTGGGCTGTATGTAGCAGCACAGTGTACACACACACACAAACGTGGGCTTCATGAACCGATCGGTTATCCATACAGGCTGCGGCTGCATCCGGAAAGAAGACGCGTAGCATCTCCAGCCAGAACACATCGCCAAGATCCAGCAAACCTCAGACTAATGATAGCTCATTGTCACATAACACATCGGCCCGAAGAGGCTGTGTATAGTCATATAGTGAGTGCAACCTAGGAGCCTCGATTCTCAAGCTTGCTTCTATAAACTGGATGCTGAGCAAGGAAGGCATCCATTGCGAATCAACTGGACTGTTGCACAAAAACCCAGCAGCTGAGAACCAAATCTGCTGGACATGTCAGACCACGTCTGAGAGAGAGAGAGAGAGAGATAGATAGATAGATAGAGGCAGAGAGAGAGAGAGAGAGAGAGAGAGAGAGTGAGTGAGTGAGTGAGTGAGTGAGTGAGTGAGTGAGTGAGTGAGAGGGGGAGAGAGAGAGAGAGAGAGAGAGAGAGAGAGAGAGAGAGAGAAGGGCGTGGAGCTCTGTGTGAGGGTTTGGCGTCTAGGGTTTATGGCT